CAGAATATGAAACAAAAGTAAAATTTTGCGAAAATGCGAAAACACAGGAAAAGTCATGTAAAACCTATTAATTTAAGAAATTATTAACTTAAATAATGTTTGCAATATTATTTAACTTTCCTGGATATAATATGAGTAGAGGGGGCTTTGGGGAGACAGGGCGCCAGCTTGCCGAGGTGCGAAAATTGAACAATTATTTGTTTACTAAAAAGTTTTGATTATATTCTGCGTTCTTACTTGCCTTAAGAAAAGCAAATCTGAGCCAAAAAATAATAAAACTTATATTTCTACCTTTGGGTAATAAATACCATTTGTTACCAATGTAAGCAATTCAGTAGACTTAAACTTCACTGCGGTTCGTGGGAATGTCGTTCAAACGAAGTTTAAGTATTGAATGTCTTAGCGATCTGGCACCCAAAGTTCAGCAGAAAACGGCTATATTATATACAATATAAGTTCACTTCTGGGCATTGATGTGCACATTTCCAGATACCACCAACATTTAAATCGTGCATGTGGATAGTGATCGTGGATGGTGATCGCTGGTAGTTGTCGAGTGACTTGCGCTATTCTTTTTATTATTTTAAATTTAGTTTCTTTTTTTTAAATTAATTCACCTAGTATTGTTGGCTAGCGCCTTTGGATTTTTGTCTTCTTTTATGTCAAGCTAATTTATTTTAGTAAATTAAAAAAGTTAGTTCTTTGTCTTGTGCCATAGCACAAGTTTTCTACTACCTCCGTAGACCCGTGCGAGAACTTTCGCATATGTAAATCCCCACACTCCTCCCTATCCTTCTATTTCCATTCTACGAGGAAAGATTATTGATAAAACATATTTATTTGTTTAAAAATGTATAAATATAACTTTCAATGAACTAACACAATATCAAATAAAAATAAAAACACTGCAAATATTTTATTAGATCGCTTAGAAGTAGATACCTTCTAATAAATAAATATGATAAGTTAAAGGTGTTTTCTGGTATAAAAAATTTGCAGAACATTGTTTTCGGCCCGTAATCTGCAAGTTCTGAGGATCTACGCAATCAAAACGATCTCAAAATAATTTTACCATTTAACTCGAAATTGAAAAGAAATTTTCAATAAAGATTACTTCAGCATTATCGAAGGATTTCTTGGAACAAATCAAACTTCCTTAGAAAGATTTACTGTAATTATTAATATCTTTAACAGTTAGCTTTTCGTGATAGTCACAAAAATATTAAAAAAGCATTTTACTCTTGAGAAAACTACGTGACTGAACACGCCGATTGAAAGTTACCCGGAATCAATGCTGATAACGAAAATACTGGTAGAGATAAACACAAAAACAAACTTAACAAGACGTCTTCACTGTTTAATTTACACCCAAATCCCAATACAAGAAGGTACACATCATTTGCAGACCTCGGCAAAAAATTAAATAAATGTTTTCACTACACGCATAAGGAACAACCTTCATCGGTATCAATCAACTATTATTAGTACTTCTAGATGTTGCTGCGAAAGCGTACCTTGATTTAATAATTATGCAAATAGAACTCGCCAGTCTGCGCAAACCATGAGCGTAAATAGTATAAGATAGAGGAATCTAAGCGTGACGTCCAAGAGATGGCCACCACCACAAAAGGTTGAAATATAGGTGACATTGGAAGTATCGATAAGAACCGAATCAGCAAAAAATTAATAGAATGTCCGAGAATATCTCGTCCTGTAGATCACAATATGAGTAACATTTCTTTGTAGATTTTAACACCCAAATACGCTTCGTTTAGCAGTTATTTAACGATAGAGCTAACTGAGTGATGCGGGTTACATTTGACATGAATATTTAGATACTCTTTTTAAACAAATGTTTCATAATATTAAAGTTAAAGTAACGTTCTTCTCGTCTCCGTGAAATTCTCTTTCTTTAGAGTCATTGTTTACAGAAATCGGTTTCATGTGAGAGCCGCAAAAGGTACTGAAATAATATAGGAGTATATATATATATATATATATATATATATATATATATAGCTTACCTCGCAACCCATGTCTGAGAGCATTGTTCTTGTTTTGGTACTTTGTCAACCGCGTGTTTTTGCTACATTTCGAGACAGCCGTGCCTCGTACACGCTACCGCAGAGGCGGCGACCGTCAGCTGCAGCCTGTTCATGTTTCTGTGTTTTCCCCATTCAAAAGCTTAGGTGGGCAGATATGCGCCTCACACGCAGGAACGTTCCGTGCTGCAAAGAGTGGGTGGGGTGGGGAGAAGTGAGCAGAGACATGAGCAAGAAATAAAACGTCTCGTTACGTGATTCTGTCCAGTATGCTCAAGAAACAAAACTAAAACTGAAGATGTGGAGGGAAGTTATGACTCCGTATCTATTTTTAACACCAACGTAATAGTAATTATTATTTAATGAAAGACGGCTCAGAGAGAAATGAGGAAGATATCTCGTGAAGCATTACCGCCAAACCTTTCATTATTTACAGTGATAATGTATTATTATTGAGTTTCATTATTAAGCAAATAAAAAAGTCTTCATAAAATTATAAAACATGCCAATAAAACAAATCAGTAGTAAATTAATAATTATTGAAAATAATTAATAAAAGTAATAAAATATTATTTCATTCAAATGACAAAAAACTGACGGTCCAGTAAATGTTCAAAATGACCACCATTTACCAATAGACAGGCGTTTACTCTTTTCAGTGTAGTGGGTGTAGTACGTTCAGTGCAGTACGTTGAAGACTAACAAGGACAGAATAAGTGCTTTCTCTTTCTTCCAATTAAAATTAATCCCATTCTCTCACTCCGAAATCTGAAGGCACGCGCCGTAGAGCCCTGGATTTGCAATCGGAAGGGCCGGGTTCGTTCTCCGGACCGGTCATCCTCACCGGGGTTTTCGTAGTATCCCTCGGTCATAAGGCGAATGCTGGGATGGTTCCAAAAACCCACGAACACCTCCCACTATCCCACGTATCACCTCCTACCATTATCCTAGGCCTTTCACTCCTCATCCTCGCCCTATAATAGTAGTAATGATAGTAATAATAATAATAATAATAATAATAATAATACTATCATTCTAACTCCCTAATTGATATTCAAGGCTAACAACCTTTTCTTCACCAAAGGATGTAGGAAATTTATATTTGATGAACCTGACTTGGATCTTGGAAGGGAGAAACGTTGGCTAGTCAGCCCATGTGAAGAAAGCAATTGCGAAATTCTGGATAGTCGGGTATTTATAAAATTCTCAAAAGAATAGAAAGCGAAAAATAACAATTGACATTTATTGAATCAGTCGTTTCAACTACTATTTGAAAATTATTCGATTAAAAATGTTTATCCAGCCTTCTAAAATGGGATCATATACACGAATTCGGTTACTCTTACAAACCTCTTACTTTGAATTTACACTATAATTTTACATTAAATTGTACTCAACTTTCTTCTTATATTATTCACGAATATTCCTCTTTGTTGATCATAAAGTTCAATAATTTTCCTATCCCAAAAAACGAACTCCATCTTTACATAGAAAATTTCTCAATTTGAAAGCAGAACATTATATATTGTTAAAATTCAGCCATTAATTTTATTTTCTCTTCGTTCTTGGCTTCGAATTTAGAAAAATATTAAATTGCAACAAACACGTTTTAAGCTATTGCCCTTCCCAGTTCTCGTTACGAACATTGCGGATACAAAATGTCGTTTCACTGTGTTCTTCTCTACCAGCCCCGAACAACACCTTGTAACACCGTTGCGGCTTCGGACACCGGAGTGGTTGCGAAAGTCACGCGCGCTTGCTCCGCCCCTTCCCGAATTTGCCGCTGCTGTACGCGAGGGTCTCGGTTCAACTCCAGGCCACCTCGGATCCTCTCGCTGCGCCTCCGGCCCGCTCGCGCATGCTCTCCCGTCTTCGTCCTCGCCCACTCGCCTCTTTCGGTCTTCTTCCGCGTCGCCTCGCCCGTTACACCAACACTCTTCTTGTGCGCTTTTATCACGATTTGGGCTTTCGTGAATTTCAATATAGTTCATTCGCTTATAAATTGAAATACACATCGTTCAAAAAAGCAGGTTTTTTTTGTTGCTTAAGGTTGCATCAACTACTAGGTCATTAGGGACCACTTATTTCGTGTAACAGTATGGTAACTATGAGTATGACACGATATAATGATGACAGGGCTGTGAAAGGACGAACACAATACAACATGCCCGAGGCGGGACTCGAACCCACGACACTTCGGTCCGAGAAAAATGCAGTTGTTTCATCAAAACTTCTCTTCTCACACAAATAACTGGATCATAACTGCATTTCTAACTGTTCTCGTATTTCACTTTGAGAAGCTCGGAATTCTTCAACGTATTTTAATGTTATCACAGTTCATTCCAAACCACTGGGTATTACAACACTGCTTATTTTTAACAATCTAAATTACTTCATGACGAAGACTTTTAACTACGAATCATTCACTCTTTCTCTCTATAGAACAAAATCACAGTTCCGATACTTTTGGCCTAGATCAGCACCACCTTTTCACACCGCTGCCGACATAAGTATTTTTCGTGCTGCCCTCTGGTCATCCTTCCTCTCCCACCTTCCCCACTTTCTCCTCGCGGACCAAAGGGCCACCACCCCTATCTCTCCGCTATTCCACTACACCGTCGAGAATTCGCCCAACTTTGTGCGGCAATTCAAACTGGTTCTCACTCCAAACCCAAATGTGATATATATCAGGCGGTCGTAAGGAAAATGCAGAATTACTACAAAATCGTTTCCAGAACAATCTATCTTGTTTTCATTTGATATTTTTGTTTTACGAAATGTGTTTCACCTTGATATTGACTTCTAGGTAAAATTGCTTTCTGGAAAGTACGATATGAAATTATGACGGCATAGAAAAATTATCCTTTATTATGCTTCTTAATCTGCTTTACAAGCTTACATTTGATAGAGTTTTCATGTTTTTTAATATGTTTAACATTTTTTCGTTGTAATGCTCAGATCATTGCTCAAAGTTGCACAATTTGCATCGACAGCTCCGAAACATAATAAAATCCGATTATTCTGATAAAAAAGTGATAGAGATTCATCTTTATAAATGACACCTGTTTTATCACTGTGTTGTGACGAAACGAAACATTGCGACCGAGAGATAAGAAATACCGGAAAGCAAATTTAAACACAAGGCCCTTCGCAGAGGAACTATCCATCCCAGAAGTTGGGTCAATCTCACCTAAATGAACCAGCCGACCCAGAACATCATTATCATTACTCTACTATTATTTTTAATTATTATTACTATATTTTATTTATTGTAAATAATGATCCACAAACATCATAGAATAATGAGTCCTTCCACATTGCAGAAGGACTAAAGTTAGTTTCAGAGGAAAAAATAAGAATTAACAAACAATATGCCTCTGGATATAAATCGATCTACGCAAATTTTCTGAATATTCTTTCACAGTTTTGACTAAATATCTCGAAGTGTTTGAATATATTTTCGACTTTTTATGGGCGAGGTACTTGACATCTGCACTTTCAAAAACGTGAACAAGAAAGGTCTAAAATCGCCAATGATATTGAAATTCATTTCTTCATAAAATTATCCTCTAAAATTCCATGCACATTTCCAGTCCTCTGAAAATATGGTAAAAAGGCGAAACATCAAACGCCACTGATTCTTGATATTCCTGCCTTCAAAGGGGCATCATAGAACCGTATGAATGGTGCTTGACTTGACAATATCAGATAACTGAGATACTTCGCCTCTTACCACGATAAGCTGATGATGTAACGAATCGATTTAGTCAATGTTGAGCAGCGTTATCTATACCGATGTGTACGGAAGACAAATTAACTACAATCTGCCTGGGACTAGAAAAATCAATGGCACAGAGATCCCTACCAGGTAAAATCGCTCCTATAGAATTATACAAATGTACATCACTCTTATACAATTATACTTAGATTTCTCTAATGGATGATGCCTTGACGAAGAATGCTAATTGGAACATTAGTGACAAAATGTACATGTACAATGGAAACTTACGAAGCGTTTAACAAGAATTATGTTGAGCTCTCAATGGCTGTGAGATGCGGAAAGTGACGGGGTGAAGTCGCAAGTCCAATGGCGCTCGAGACGTTTAATTAGCCCCGTCAGCGGAGCGAGGCTCGAACAGATAAAAGGCGGCACGTGGATATCCTCCTGTGCTAGAGGAGAGCAACGGCAGTCGCCATGAGAGCTCTGATCGCGCGCCTGCCCTTGCTGCTGCTCGCCCTGGGGCTGTGGCTCCCAGCGGCCACACAGGCGGCGCGCATCCTGGGCATCTTCCCCACGCCCTCCATCAGCCACCAGCTGCCCTACCAGGTGAGGCACGCCTTCCTTCATTCGCTAGCTACCTTTAGGTAAGGCACGCACGCCCCCCATCAGCCTCCAGCGGCCCTACCAGGTGAGGCACGCCTTCCTTCAGTCACTAACTACTTTAAGGTATGGCATGAACGCCATCGACTAGCCACCAGTTTTCCTAAGAGAAAAAGCATGCACAATTTCCATCAGCCACTAGATGCTTTCAATAGCAACCAGTTGTCCTACTGAGAATGGCGCGCGCTCCAGCTCAGTAGGGCTACAAACAACCGGCCGGTGTTTCCCATGCCCTCACCAAATAATCCGTCACTGGCTTCGTTGAAAATCACATGCGCACTGGCTTAAGTAAACAACGTAAATATTAAGACGAATGTGTGATCAATACTAGTGTTCAATAACTTCTGTAGAGGTCGAACGTCAGTTTAGCCGCATCGAATTCGTTTTAACGTTTGATAGGTGTCATTTTATGTTCGAAAATTTGAAAATGTCTCTATGGAGACATTTTAAACACGATCATGCATTTTAATTTACATTTTCTCTGCTTTCGTAAATAATTTTCAAAAAGCAACAAATAAATATATAAGTATTTTGCAGTAAAGAAATATTTGAAAATATTGGTTTCTTATAACGCAAGAACTGTCAATTGATACTCAAATATTTAATATTCCTTCTGTAATACTCAATTAAAAGAGACTATTTTACTTGCACACATCCACAAAATGTGAATTTTTCACTCCAACTGGCTCACTGGGCTTCAATTGAACACTCTCTCCACATTTTTCAAATCACAAAAAGAAATCAAAGCATTTTATTAATATCAGGGAGCAGCGAGTTGTCTTGTGAACTCTACTCATATTTTTTCCTCTTTTTTAGTTTATTTGTTTAAAACCGCTCACTGTGAGTCGAGTAGGGGGATGAGTGATATTGTGAAAATAATGAATGTTGAATTAATGCTGCAGGATTCAATGAGATGCTGGTTTATTCCACGGGAAGAAAAAATACAATATCAAGCATGCCATCCCTTCCGAGTTCGAGAACAAAACCGACAAAACAATTTAGGGAATAAATATTTATAAATTTTTTACTTTTTAATTATGTTTTTATGAGTTCACAAATACTTTTATCCAAGACATTTCATTTATCCCTAGTATTCAACCCTCGTACCATATTTGGAGTCTTTTTGATCCTCATCATTAATTTATTAATATTTTCCGAATACTTGCAGTATTATTTCAGTCTTTGAGATAACCCTTCGTGACTGTACGATTATGTATTGACTGTGTCTGATACAGTCAATATTTGATTTATTACAATCTATTATAAATATTTCTGAAGCATTATGTATCAACAATAGAGGTTATGTACGGTAGAGGTTAACCTTTATATGAAATATGTCCAAAACTCTCCAGGTACAGTACTTAATTGTAAATTGCAGATATGGTACGAGGGTTAAATGAATAGTGAAAATATAGAACTTTTCTCTGACATACTTTCTTAGGGGGCCGAATCACCGAGAAGTCGGCAACAGATATCTGGTTTTACTGAACCATTGCACGATTAACGATGATATTCATTACACAATGGAATAAGTGAAATACCTTTGCTTTCATTAAACAGTTACAGCGATAAACGCATCCTGATCATAAGTTAGATTTCATCCCACGACCGTGGGAAGTGGTTGCCGTCTGAATCATCTGCACAGTTTATCGGCACTGAGCAGACCAGAAATTGCTGTCTATGTCTACAACCGTGGTGATGTTTGTTGCAGGCGGTGATGAAGGCACTAGCGGCGCGTGGTCACCAGATCACCGTCATCAGCCCTGACCCTCTCAAGGTAAGTGATGGAGCTAACAATTATGAGTAATTTTGGTTTATGGTTATTGAAATGAGCGTTGAACATGGCTCTGCGATAAACTAACCTATTTGTAATACAGATCAGAAAGTTATACTTTTTTCTATCTTATCATATACTTATTGTATATTTTATATAAAAATGTAATAGATTTTGGCATTAATATTAAATACAAATTTTCTTGTGGAACGTTTTTTTTTTTTCAAATGTAAAACGTAAAAATTAAACGTTTATTAATGAAACATGTATATAGTTGATGATTCAAATTATTAGTTTAGCTAAGTTCATTCAATAGAAACAAAATTATACATTGTGCTCCACCCCCTTGATAATGCACGGGACCATAATACATTGGTGTTGCTAGGTATATAGAAGAGAATGTATGGTGATTCAAACGTTAACTAACTCCCTTTTGGAGCTCTTTTTCGTAACCGAGATATGCTTTTTCAAGATACTGAACCGGTTCCGGCAGACAAACGTATCCTCCAACATTTCCTTTTTCATTTGGGATAATGCGCGGGGAGGCGGCCTGCTGCCCGCTCCCGTGTTTTCGGCCTAAGCTTCCTTTCAAGCCCACCCCAGAGCGGGGATCATTCAAATAGGCGCGTCAGCGGGCGTCCCTTATTCCGCCTGGGTGTGATTCTCGCTTTCTCCGTTAGATGTGAGGCTGAGTTCATTACATTCCAACTCTAATGTCGGGAAATCGTGAAATCTCTTTGGGATGGGTAAATTGCAGCGGGATTTAATATTTACGGGCATCTGCCAGGGTTCTTTTACTAGGCACCAAGCGCGATATGGTCGCTGTGGATTTTTCAGCCCTCAAATATCAAAACACCTCTGCCAGAATCGAATTCGCGCTCTAGGGGTTGAGAGGCCTGTAAGCTACTCGCCCAATGACGCGTGCAAGAACATTTTGTCAGCAGATTTGTTTGAAAACTTAGTGTTCAAAGTGAAGTCAGGTTTATGGGTCAGTGGAGAAATAAAGTCACTACATGATTGTTTTACACCGCTTCCGAAAATATATTTCCATCCTCGGGGCTATACAAGATCAGAAAAACAAGAAAAAATCAGGAATAACATGTTAAAATTTAAAACTCATATCTGTTCTCTATATAAAAACATAAATTTGGTGCTCTAGTAAGTGTTCCAAAATAATCCGTTCTTAAACACCGTGCTGTACAAGCACAATAAAATCAATATTCCATTACATTTAGGCTTAAATTGATTTTCATTTGTAATTATTTTTTCATTGATATTATTATACATTTTTCAGGAACCTGTGGCCAACTACACAGATATAGATCTTTCATTCAGTTATAAACTTTTTCGAGAAATGATAACTTTCGCGGACATGTCAGAAGTTGATCCAGTGACAGTTGTGAAGTTACTGACGCCTGGATACTTTCAGCTAGTCGACGAGCAGCTTGGATCTAAACAAATACAAGACTTTCTCAAGTAAGTGCCACATTTCTTCCGTGAACTTTTCATGATATTTGAATGTCGTATGGACAATTGTATTGAAATTCTTCGCTCTTAATAGAAGTCTATGTATCTGAATCACCTTACGTGAAATTATTTCTATCTGAAATATTTTTTTGCATAATATTTGAAAATATTTTTCAGTTTCAAGGCTCATTAACGGTTTTTTGAAAGCTCTTATTCGTGATTCCACAATCTCCCTCACAAAAATCAAGTGCTGAGGTCTCAGTGTCAAGGGAAAATAAATAAATGGAAGCAAGTAATTGTTTTTCTGTAGGGGTGAACACACGATTTCTTGAAAAACCTTTATATATACGAATATGACGTCCAATTTCCCATATTTTCGGTATGGTTTTCAATATACTCGAACAACTAGCATTGTCAAAACGGATTAGCTTCAGAATAATCTTGAAAACTAAATAGAGGCACCTGTCATCATCCATTTCACCCTAAACCTTGGTTCCACATTTATCTCCTATTGAGCTATAGATAGCATTATTATTATTATTATTATTATTATTATTATTATTATTATTATTATTATTACATTACAGGTCATTCGAGAAAATGCATAATCTCAAACTCCTCGCCTGTCCACAGATACAATGCCTCCCAAGGCTTCGACCTTGTGTTCTACGAGTGGTGGGGATATGAAGCCTTGTTCGGGCTTATTCACGCCGTAGGCTCACCGCCGCAAGTCGGTATTCTTTCATTCGGCGGAACCGTCGTCCAGTGGAGATCCATTGGCAATCCTCACAATCCAGCCATCAATCCCGACGCTTTAACTGGATTTACGGACCAGATGACTTTCTGGGAGCGCGTTCAGAATTTAATGAGCAACATCAGATTGACATGGCACTGGGAAGGCGTAATGTTCACAGAACATGTAAGGGAAATGCTCATTCTGACACATACAAACTCGCTTAATGACCATGTAATGAATTTGTTATTTGTGTTATTCCATGGTTTAATTAAATACCTTGTTTTCCGATCTAAAAAACTTCAAACTCGTAATCTCATATCTCTTTAACTAAAGAAACTACTGGTGATACAACAGCACATACTTTCATACATTATTTTAAACGTTTGCAATTTTACTAAATTCACAGAGTTCCAAGAAAATGAGACTTTCGTCATTCATTTAACATTCATTTCTCCTGCCCGTTGAAAAAGTAAGAAATAAACTGGAGTGGTATTGGCAAAATGTTCTTTTTCTATTTTGTGTTAACTTTATGCATAATTTACGAGAAAACTGCTACCTTTAAAAAAACTCAACCCCTTTTCAGTATATAAGCTTTAGAACAAATTCCATTTGAAACCAAATTTTCAATCATCAATATTGAACTGTTACAATGTTAACTTTTCGTAATTTTCGAAAATATAGAGTTAAAAAATGAGTCCAGCACTACTTGTTGTACCGTTCTTTCGTACACAGAGATTCATCAGTCAAGAGAGGTAGCAACTTTTGGAGTTGGGGATGTAATAGCCCATATATTTGAATTCAAAATTAATGAAAAAATTATATTTTCTACGCAGGAAAAAATTATGCGAAAACATTTTGGATCTGCGCCGCCATCCGTCTATGACACATCTCGGAATCTCAGCCTGCTGATACTATGCAACCACTGGACCTTGGAATATCCCCGAGCCCTACTGCCTAACGTCCTGCAGCTGACAGGGTTGCATGTGCGCGAAGAGACACGCCCACTTCCCGCAGACCTGCAGGTGTGGATAGACGGGGCGGAACATGGCGTCATCTACTTCAGCCTGGGTACCAATATCTTGTGCAAGGACCTGCCGCCCGAGAAGCTCCAAGCCATCCTGCGTGCGCTGGCGCGCCTACCGCAGCGCGTGCTCTGGAAGTTTGAGAACGACACGCTGCCCGGCCAGCCGCCCAACGTGCGAATCTCCAAGTGGCTGCCGCAGCAGGACATCCTCGGTGAGCTCTCCCCCAACCCCATCGTCAGCATCTATCGCACGCCCAGCTTACCCCTAAGTCCTCATGCCCCATCTTGAGCTCCTCTGCTCTTCACATTACACTCCCAAGGTATCCTCGTTCTTCCAAAGTCCTTACGTCCTCAGCATCTTCGCTCCTAACATCACAGCGCTCAACGAATTCTTATCCAGTCCTCCCTTCACGCCGCTTCACTTCGCTGAGTGGCGCTCCTCGCATTATCCCCCGAACATATCCTAAGTGACTTCTGACGTTTCGTGCACCTCTACTGTCATCATACCTGAAATGTATCCTCGGTGAGTCCTCCCTCGACATCCTCAGCACGTCCGCTCCAAACATCATATGCCCAAAACATCCTCAGTGAGACCTTGCATAAGATACCTCCACAAAATCTGGGTTACTGAGCTCTTCACATTCTATATTCACGTATCCTCGATGAATCCTCCAAGGTTTTTTGCATGTCCTCAATACTTACGGTCCACGCAGACACTCGTTACCCTAGAGTTGATCGCTCAGTCGCAAAGTCTTACCATGACCTGGTAACACTTTGGCAAGAAATCCAACGAACCCGGAGTTAGTGTTCGTTCTGCTGCCCTAAGGGAAACATCTGTTGCCCTTGGTACTTTCGCATTCGACCAGCAGCCCAGCGTGCGTGTTGCCTATAGGGTACAAGGTCTGAGTGCATTCCCTTTAGCCCAGCTGCCCAGCGCGTGTGTCGCGAATAGGTTTCAAGGTCTGAGTACATTCCCTTTAGGCTAGGTTCGTCATTGTCGGAGGTCCTCTGGCCTAGACATGACAGGAACTTCCGCACTCTGTCACTAGTCAGTATAATGCAAAGAACCTTTCTTAATGGCAGGTCTCTGTGAGTGCTTTTGAGTGACGCTCATTTTTATTGCTAATTAAGCCTTTTTTTCAGAGAATGGCTTCTTTTTAATTTCTCCAAAATTAGATCTATTTCTATTTCCTCCTTAAAGTATTTTTTTTAAATTTTAACTTGCGGAGCGGAAGTGCCTTCCAGTGTTGAAAGTATTTGAATAGAGCGTTCGTTTAATTTTAACTACTCGAGTGATTTTTTCTGTATTCATCATTACTCTTGTTTCATATACTTCTTGAAGATTGTTTATTGTCAAAATACATCTTCACTTATTTCTCTGGACTTCACCCAGAACACTATGAACTACATTTCTTAAGACAACTTAATGTAACAAAAATTGTGAAATATTTCGTGTTTATCCAGCAGCTGTTTAAAATGAATTGAAAGAGTAAACCTACCTCTTCGAAATCTCTTAGTAGTTCTTCATGTAACACGGATTCGTATACGAAAGATTCCATTTCATTTGTCTAAATTATTATGTCTTTGCTTTTTCTAGCAATGTATCTTGAATGCCCTCTTTGAATTTAGATTTAATGCCGCTCAATTTATATTTATCTGTCACTAGTTGTATTTATCTCTAAAATATTCTGCCTCATTTCTTCATAGCACATATTTAATCGTGAGTGTTCATTGATTAGAAAGAGCTTGTCACAGATTGCGTTTTTCTTTTCTATAGATGATAAAATACTTGTGAAAATGTATAATATTTCTCGATATACTTTATTAATCCAGACCGAAGAAATGCAACACGACATACAATGTATTTCACCAAAGTGAATATTTATTTCAATTATTTCTCCCGCGAAATAAAGCAGAGTATATCATGTTTGCACAAAAATATATCTTTTCATCCCAAGCATGCTTGTGGTTAACTTTATCAAGAATGATCTAAACAGGAAAGGAAAGATTCTTAATTTTTATTGCATATTAATGTGCATATTTAAGACTTTCTAGGTTATAAATGCGTATTTTAAAAGTATATTACAAGATTTTAAGCGTCTAAAAATCCTCTCCCTAGATATAAATTATATTTTTCTTACTAATTTCATTAAGGTTAATTTTATCTTTTCGCAGCACATCCCAAAGTTCGCCTGTTCATCACACAAGGAGGCCTGCAGAGCTTCCAGGAGGCAGCTTACCACTCCGTGCCCTTGCTAGGAATCCCCTTTATGGGGGACCAGCAATACAACGTTGCTAAAATGGTTTCAGCCGGCATCGGCTCCCGGATCCAATTAAAAGATATTACAGAGGACTCGATGTACGCTGCTACTATAGAAATGCTCGAAAATCCCAAGTAAGTTATTACATGCTCTAGAAGAAACCCCTAGAATAAAGATGAAGTCTAATGGCATTTTGAAATGAAAGCGTGTTGGCTGTGTGTGTATATAACAAGCACGTTGAGCGCATGACGAGCACTGCCTTATCAAACGGCCCAAGGACCGCACGCAACCTTTCCTTCTTCTTCCTTTCCTATCATATACCCTTATTCTTAAATGCACTATACAACCACAGATTTCGTAAGAGCATACGGGAGCTTAGAGTTGGTATCGGCTGGGGCTACACCCCGCTGGAAGGAGGTACGTAGTGGGGAAAATTCACGCAAGACGACATGTAGGTTGGCTGCAGTTGATCACACCATGCTCTAAACAAACACCGCCGTCTCCCTTGATAAAATATCCCTAATTGGTCTAGTGGCCATAGCAGTTGTCGTACCTGTAAACATCAATTAATCGTCGGTGTGTGTTTGTGCGTCAGGTACGCCGAGCGCATGCGTCGCTTCTCGGGCGTGTAGCGACGCACAAGGCGCGCTCCCTGGAGACGGCGCTGTGGTGGGTGGAGTACGTGCTGCGCCACGAGGGCGCGCCGCACCTGCGCGCCGCCTCGCTGCGCCTGGCGTGGTACGAGCTGCTGCTGCTGGACGTGGCGGCGGCCGTGGCGCTGGCGGCGCTGGCCCGCGCTGCTGCTCGCCCCGCCTTCGCCTGCGACGCCTCTGGGCGCGCCTGCGCCTTCACGGCCCCTGCGCACCACGCGCGCCACCGCAAGGACCAGTGAGCGCGCGCGCCAGTGCTGTTTTATTGCTCCAACTCCACACGTTCACTCAGCCGCAAACCACCATTGAAATGGCGTATTTATTTTCCATTTCCATTTTAGGCATTTACATCTATTTCTCTGTTAATTTCCAATTTCCTTCCTAGGAATGTTTGTCAGCACACCTCTTAAAAATATTTTTCTTTTCTCTTCCACAAAAGACGGTGGAGAATTGGAGGTCTCGGAAATAGATGAATTCAATTCAAAAGCCTATTATCATCCATGAAACGAATGTGTAATATGCATTGATCATTCTTATGTGAAGATTCTTGCAACAAAGAAAGCTATTTATATTTTTTTTATTTTCAGGTTTATTACTTAGCTAAGTATCAGTAGATATAACATTTTTGATGTAAAATAATTGTAAATAAACACGTCTGAAAAACAATATGAACTCTTTAATTATAACTCTGTTAAATTCTGCTACACCCCAGGTCATGCTATTTTGAAGAGCGAATGTTACCTGAAAGTTGTTTCTGTGAATCTGTACATTTCGACAATCAAAATATAATGAATATACTCAAATTTTAAAAAGAGGAAGTAAATAATTTTAGTAGAAGGAAATTTGGTTTTTTGTACGGAATTGTACGTTTGAATTGAAAAGAATTTCATTCATTTCTATTAATGAAACACTCATTCATTTTTTAGTGTTAAGAGGTGTTATTACTCTTATAAAATCTACAGCCTGTCGAAATATGAATGAAAAAGGAAAACCAATAAAAGTGTTTCCCCAATATCTCTCCATATGACTCAAACATCACGTTAAAAGCTTTTACAAAAACCATAGCGAAGAAGACTAAATACAATACATTTTTATTTTACAAGTGGTTAAAAGAGACGATTGTATTCACATCAGTTGTTTATTCACAATTGTAGTGTCACAAGTGTATGATTACTAAAAACATCGATTATGATATCACCATTTTAACATTTTGACAGTTTTTCTAGCAATAAGCCCACATGGAAATGGAATGATTTTCATATCGGTGAAAGTTAAGAATTATATTAATAAAACATTATTTTAATTATTATTATATTAATATTATTCTCTACTTCACAGCTAAATTTTTAGTAGGTTGAATATAAAGAAATTAGAAAAGTAAGTAGTATGAGAATGTATGTGCCATTCTGTCGCACTAGCTTTCTACCATAATTTCCTAAAGAGATTCCACTTAATAATTGCGCCATAATTAATTGTCTTGTCAAGAGGAATTCAGTGAGATATTAATCTCCTCCGTACGTACCAAAAATCATCAAAAACGGATTTAAGTTGCTTAAAAAACAAAAACAAAGAAATCACGTTTTTAGAGACATTTTAATAGTTTACGGGTGGGTTCGCATAACATTCATTCCCCCACCAGAAGACATTGATACGCTTCGACTATTTGCCTCGATTGGTGGACCGGAGGCGGACTGACAGTGACTGACGGGCGAACGCAGGATACTCGATTGCTATATAAAGAAAATACATTGAAAGTTGCCTTATAATTCTTAATTATGATACAATTGTCCTATATATTTCAGTATCAGTTAAACGACAGACTGCTAAATGACAGAGGCCCAATCAATCTCAAAACATGAATAATTTCATGCAGTATTTTAATTCTGAAAATAAACTGTTCGTTCTTTTTTTAAATTACACATTTTACGTTCGTTTAGAATCATTCTTTAATAAGCACGAATATTCATGATATGGTTTGAATATAAATGTAAACAGAAACAAACTATTATTGTTTTCTATTTCTTAAAGATGTACTTTTTTTCAATAAGAAACACAAAATAGTTTTCTCCATATATTAGGTATCTGTAAGATGCTGCAAATAGCTGCATTACGTTATCATAACAAACAAACAAAAGACAGGGAGAGGTGCCTTAGGGAATCAACTGAAATCACTGCAGTGCCTATGACCGAGACGTCCTAGGTTCGAGCTCCGACGGTGACCGAATTTTCGACTCTAACTTCTCAGATAGATCGGATACAGTCGCTGTCTAGTGGAGAATAATAGCAGTCGGCTACTTCAAT